TTTTAAAATTATTTTTAATAAAGCCACGTAGACCTACAATTTGAATTTATGTTTAAAATTCGAGCACCTGAATTATGTACACAAACATTGCATTAGGCCTACTTACACAATCAAAAAATGAATAGGCATAACTATAAAGCCACCTTGGTGAGGTGAAAGCAAGTCTCAAATTTTATATTCTACGATATAAAAATTATTTTTTAGATTTTTAAAAACCGTACTTCTGTAATAGTTTAAAATAATTTCGATTTTTAAAAATTATTTTTCCAAAAGACTGCAGGTCGTCAGAACTACGTCTAAAAAGAATTAAAAATTATTTTTTAAGATTTTAAAAAAACCGTACTGCTGTAATAATTTAAAAATTATTCTTCCAAAATATTGCAGTTCGTCAGACTTACTAATTGTACTTGTTGTCCCAAAAGATTGAATATCTGATGCTGTGGAGTTTTACCTACTTTTTCACAATTTAAATACAGTAACTCGTCTATCGCTAGGCGATTCTACGTTCACTTTAGAAGTTGTGAAGCCTGTAATAACTTGGCATACAAAAATACGCTCATTGATAGGAAAAAATGAGTCTTTTTCCTTCAGTAATCTGATATTTGATAAGAGATACTTTCACTTAGTAAGAAAAATTGCAAAAATGGTGGTGGCTACCAAAGTGGTATCGCTGACAGTGTTCAGGGAATTTTATTTAATGACCCATTTTTATCAAATTATATAGTCTTAAACTTATACAAAGGAACTTTTGTCACCTTTCCAACCTTTTTCCACCACTAGGCCTACGTATTTTTTATAGGCCTAATATTTTAATATACTGAAATCGAAGTGCAAGTAAAATTGTTCATCTTTGTTTGATGGTTCTTTGGTGTGTTTGAGTATTTTCTTAGTCTGTTTTGCCTCTACCTGTTAAAGTGGTATTTTGTTCTCTCCTTTTATTGATTTAATTGAATTTTGTATTTAAAACATTTTTCTCAATTTTTCTGGTTTTTGTAATGAAATTGACCATGTTAATGAAATTGTTATGTTGTACTATTTTACTTCTTCGTTACGGAGGGTTTTTCTTTAAATAAATTAAATTGAATTGTGGGATTGATCTTATACAAAATAACTGGAGACGTCTTCATGAATTTATACCTGCGCATCAAACGAATTCATTGATATTGTATTGAAATTTTTCCTAATATAAATAATTAAAGTAAGATACGTTTCTACTAACTATGTAATTGTTAACCCCGAAATATTTACTTTCAGTTATCATGCATTTAACAATAGTTAAATGTAAAGTCAATTGGTCTGGCTATAAATTATTGTATGGCTTAATGCCCCTCTTAATTTGGGCAAAACACGGTCAATCAATCAACCAATCAATCAATTTATTGGATCCACTTTGATACAGTAGCACTTATACAAAATGCATGTGCATGCATACGTAAACAAACATACAGAAATAACATAAATTACTAGCTATTATTTTGGTTGCACAGTAAATTCAGACGAGCGACGATCATCTCTCTGATAACCAAAAATACTAGTCTAGCGCCCTCGTTATTTTCGATTTTTTAAAGCACTGTCAACTGTTACAGTACTTACCGTACATACTGTATAGTAACTCCGTTACACTGTCGTCGGTACCATGTAATTGATAACGAAATATGCTATTCTATTCGTCTTGAAGTTAAAAAATTGAGTTTTTAATTCAAAAAAACAAAATATCAAATGCAAAACAAAATTATTATTCCAGCCAAAATTATATGTTAATTATATGTGTAGGCCTGTATACGTATCCAAATGATAAAATAGACATATTTTTCTGAAGTTTATATAAAGATGTTTTTGTAATTTTTCCAATTAGTCAATATGATATATAAGTCTTTGTATTTGTTATAAAACTCTAATCAAGAGAAGGGCAGTTACGATGTTTAGAACATAATATTTTCGAAAAAATTATGATTCCGAACAGAGGTAGGCTAAGATAGGCCTATCTAATGATAAAGAATAGGCAGATTTTGTCTGAAGCTTCTAATGCTTTGCAAAACGTTTAATTAATCAATATAATATATAAGTCTTTGTATTTGTTATAAAACTCTAATCAAGAGAAACGTAGTTACAAGGTTGGCAGTTACGATGTTTAGAATATAATATTTCGAAAAAATTATGATTCCGAACAGAGATAGTCATATCCCATGATAAAGAATAGGCAATTTTTTTTTAAAGTAGTATAGGTTTAAAGCTAGGTAAAATTGTTAATTAGTCATTAAAACATATATGTGTTTGGATTAGTTTTAAAACTCTACTCAAGAGAAAGTCAAATATGATCTTAAAAATGTAGTTTTTCAAAAAAAATATGATTCCGAACAAATGGGTAAACAGGAGTTGTGTATCTAATGATAAAGAATAGGCAATTTTCTCTGAAGTCAGTATAGGCCTAATGATGAAGAAAAATCTTAACTAGTGGATAAAACATATCATTGTCTGTATTCTTTTCAAACCTTTATACAAAAGAAATATATCTAGAGTGTTAAAAATACAAAATTCCTAAAAAATTATGATCTGAACAAAACCCTAAATTAACATAAAATTTTTCAATGCAAAAGAATAGGGAAAAGCGTTCATAAAAAAAATTGATAAAATTTACGATTTTTAAACGATTAGCTTTAAAAAGTTAATTTGTAATAATATTTGAATATTTAATTGATTGTGATTATTTAATGTAATTATGATGTGATTAAGTTGTGTTTATATGTGATATTTTGTGTATGTGTGATAGTTGAATGTGTTTTGTTATCATCGTATTTTGTTGTTTTCGTAGTACGGCTGGCCGTTATTATATCGGATTGTGTTCTACAGCTCACCACGTGATGTCATCAGTGAGAGTTTAAAATCAGCGACGGTAGAAACTGTCGACTACGTGAACGAGGTGAGTAGAATTATGTATCATTACAATTACGACATCAACACACAAAATATCACAACACAGCATCTATACACAACATACCATACACCACTCTACATCAGTTCTTACCTAACAACAACAACTTATTACATTTAAAACATATCTTAATCATCATCCACACTATAAATATGATATTTTATTGTATTTTACGATCAATGTTGATTGTTTATTGTTGAAATTTCCCGCACGGTGGTCGTGCAAATATACAGTCGTTGCGCCTTGAATGAGGAAGAGAAGCAGCTCACAACCAAAATAAAGGTGTTGAAAATCACTGAAAAATCAGTTTTACATAAAACAATCATAGTCATGTTTGATCTTGTTTTGATCTGTATTGAACACTGAATATTGTAATTAACATTTCAATAAGAAATATAAAAAAAACTACATAAGCTAAAAAATATTTTTGAGGAGATGGTGATAACTTGTACAAAACATAGGGCGTCCATGTTGTGTGATAATGATATAGCCAAGCCAAATGAATGCAAAAAAGCCTGTTAAAAATTACTGAAAACGAGCTTTACATAGAAAATTCACATTTATGTGTTTGAATTTGTTCGAGTAGTCAATGTACACTGAATATGAATTGTACAATTTTATAGGAAAAATCCATAAAAAGTATAATGGCCTAAAAAATATTTTTTTAAAGAGATGATGTGTTGTATATTCTCTGTTTTCATATTCCTTGTTCATTGTGTAGTTTTTTGGTTGTATTCTACATCACATTGCGGCACTCGGCTACGCTCAGCAACTGAGAGCAGCAGTCAGGATTTCTGCACGCAATGTGAATTTGCAAGACATGGTACGTATAGGAAACAACACATTATTCATTAAAAACACTGAATGACAAATCGTCATTATTAAATAAATACATTATTCATAAAATTATAATTAAATATTTATCTCTAAATATAATCATGACTGTAAAATACTGTATTTATCACTTTTATCACGGTTCAATTGCTTATGTATGGTTTCAACCGTTGTGTGATAGCCAAGCAATCAACAAACGATTCTGAATCGATCACTAAAAACTGGTTTAAAATTGCTAAAAAATCAGCTTTACTTTACAACATTCACAGTCGTGTTCGATGTTGTTTTGATCTGTATTGAGCACTGAGTGTAGTTATTAACATTTCAATTAAATATTTCATAGAATAAAAAAAAACGAAATAGAATATTTCATGTTTGTAACGTGTACAAAACATAGGGCGTCCATGTTGTGATCACTATAGCCAAGCGAATGAATGAAAAAAAAGCTTGTTTTTTTACAGTATTCAAAATCAGCTTTACCTGGAATTTTTTGAGCCGTTTTTGATTTAAACGTTATGTTTTTATAAAGAAGTATAGTATAGTAGCCTAAATTATGTTTTTAACACATGAATCTCTCATATGGTAAATAAAACAATGCTAGCGAGAGTAGGGCCTACTCTACCATGGAGGAATTAGTTACTCAGACTGTAAATGCATAGGTCTATTTTAATAGTACACTACTTTACACAGGCTTTTCTTTTTCCATTGTAGAAATAGTCTTTTGAGAACAGTTTCTTTTCCAGAAATAATTAATGTGATATGACCCTCCGTTATGGAGTTATACGAATTTTTAGATATTCATAAGGACAAGAATTCAGCCTCAAATCGAAGCTTATCTTATTTCTGTTGGTTACGGATAAACCGAGTTGGGTCAAAGAATTAGGCCATCATGGGTTGTTTGTCATCACTTATCATCAAGATGCCTACCGATTCGTGAAAAAGGCGTATTGTATACTGAAACTGTAGTCTTAAATGGCATAAATATGCCTCAAACACATCAGCAATAAATGGCATGTTTTAGAAATCAATCAGGTATCACATAAATGTACCCCTGGGCACAATTATTCATGATATTAAAAAAGCTAGGCCAAGCCTAGGCTAAGTAAGCTAGGCCCCAAGCCTTGAAGCCTAGTAGTTTAGGCTAGGCCTACTAGACTAGCCCAGCTAGGCCTACACCGTACAGAGAACAGGCCTAGCCTAGCTAACATACCTAGACAGTACTGAGCGTCCGTAGGCCCCTCTGTCTCGAATTCAGGTTGATTTCGATCACGTCAATATACAGTATGGCTAAATTTTTCTGCAATGACATAGGATAAAGTAAGGAGGAGGGGGAGGCAGGTCAAGAGGGGTGGGTTCATTAAGTTGGGCACACACGTCCTCATTTTTGCGGCTAAATTTTTGGCATATTTATGTTATGTGCTACTTACTTATATCCATTCTGAATCTGTTGTGCCGCCACCTCGCCCCTTCCTGTTAGTAAAATTCTGGATCCGCCCATCATAAAACTTGAAAATAATTCCTCACAAGGACTATCCAGAAAAGACACTCATCTACAGAGACATCATCTACAAAGACGTCCTTTAGAAAAATAGTAACATGCTAACCATAACGTTCACATTGCCTCCTCCTCATTCAAAACCGTGTGGAGCACAGGTATATATGCTAGTAGAGAATATAATCATCATTTAAGGACATTATTTAGTATAAAATAATAGTAGTTTTAAAATATTGTTATGGAAGAAAATTATCGATGAAAATGTATTTCATACAAAGTGAAAGTTAATTATATTTACCTAAATTTTAACTGTAATGTTATTGATTGCATTATTTCATTTGTTTACAGAGGTATTGACTGTGTCTGGATTGGTAACAATGAATATGTTGTTTATTCACATTATGCTATCATTTGTACGGTTATGAGCTTTCATTGAGTAACACTGTTTTCAATTGTGTTACAGAACGGCAATACTCCACTTCACAAGTTGTTAAAATTTAACCATTCGTATGGAGATCACATAGACGCAACAAATTTCTTGATAAAGGCTGGGGCAAATGCCAAGTTAAAAAACCAGGTAAAATAGGTAAAAATGATGACAACGAAGATGATGATGATGATTATTATGATTATGGTTATGATGAAGATGTTTATAATTAAGTGATGGTGATAAGGAGCATACTGAAATTAATGATGGCAACTATGATGTTGATATTGCAAAGGCGACTAATGATATCAGGATTTAGGCCTATACACTAGGCGAAATGTTTATTCATGATCGTTGTAGCAACTATTGATTTTTGTCAATGTTTTATTGTTGACATGAATATTTGCAAGATGCAATTGTAGAATTAAAGAATAATTAAATTGATATGTAAATTTATTCAATTCAATTGTTTTGATTTTTTTTGGGTAACATTTGTTGAAGTGCTTTAAAATGTGATTGTTTTGCTTGATTATTTATTTAATTCATGAGGTATGATATGATATGTGATTGTCTTTGCAGGATGGTCAAACTCCAGCTGAAGTGTATGTGAACAACAAATGTAAGAAGTACTATTCTACCAACAAAGAAAAACAAAAAGAAATGCTCATGCGTCTCCTACAAAGTGAGCTGTTCATACGAACATAAGTTCATATTTAATATATTTGTTTTGTTTAATATCAAATATCAATCATTTTAAAATTAATATTAGTATATTCGCATTTTGTATATTTAGTATTAAAATCTTGAAACACCATTTAAATGTCCAATCATTTTTTTAAATGTGCATATCTATTTTTGCTATTGTATTTATGTGTATTGTACAGTGTATATTATGTACTATACTTACAGTATTTTGATTAGCAATCTAGGCGGCTATTGGTGGCGCTTTGTAATATTTTACAGCATTTGTTTTATGCTCGATTCAGACAAAATGATAGCACTATCACTCAGTATATCATTGAATATAATACTGTAAAACATTTATTCAATGATGAAAATAAAACGACTACTCTAGGCCTATATTTTCTCTGTCTGTTATCACCATAGTAATTTATTTCCCCTCTTTTGGAATAAATAAGTTCTAATTCTATACTTTTGTTTGCAAATTTGCTTTTATTATGGTTACATAATCACAAGACTGGGTTTGATGAAGTAAATGTTGCACCATTGCTACGAATGATTCTATGAGAAAAGAAATGCAAAATCACAATTGAAGCAATGAAGAATGTGTATAAATGGATAGGTTAAAGACCTCTTCAGTAAATGACAGCATTGCAGGCGCCTGGCCTCAATAATTATATTTAACAATTTTCATGAAGGAATTCAATGTGTAATTCAGAAATATATTTATGCTTAAAGTGGGGATGGTTCCAACGGAAATCTTGGTGCGTGGGACCGAAGCAGTGGAAGCTTTTAATGATGCTCTAGCTGAGGGAGAAACAGAGGTTAATCAGGGAAGGACAGTTTTCACGGGCCTCGAGAGAGTCGGGAAGACATCTACTATCAAGTCATTTTTAAGGAATACGTAAGCTAAATATTTCCAATGTTTGCTTTACCTACTTAACCAGTAGAAATAGGTGAAGTCTTCAAATGTTTTTTTAAGAAACCTGTAATTCAAATAATTTTTGTATTTTTTTCAAGAATCGACAACTTAAATAAATGTATGAAAGATTCAATAATATCAATCCATTATTTTAAGTACGTTTCTACACATTTATTTATATATCTACGTTGTGTACATTATTAATTTATATTATGCTTTCTGTAATAGCAATCTAGATTAATAATTTCATTTTGCCTTTAGTTTTGATCCATATGAGGGTATTACGGACGCAATTGCCAACACAATGGTGTGTACCCATGAATCACACAATGAATTGAATTGGAAGGAAACATCACCTGATCATTGTAAGTAAAGCGTAAACATTTTTGTAAAGTTATATAAATCAATACGAAGCAATGGGACTTATTATGTGCTGTAGCTTATCCCAATTTTCAAGCAGCGTGAAACAGATGTCCGCTGGGTGTGACGCTGGTCCACCACAGGTTACTCCCAGCAATTTGCTGGTACCCATTGTTGATACAGCTGGGTAGATTGAAGCAATGTAAATAAAGTGCCTTGCTCAAGGACACAAGCGAAATGCATAGTGAAGGGTTGAAAACCAACCTCGAGGTACGGATTCCAAATTATTGCAGTGTGCCTAACTGCTTTCACTATATGTGAAACTTCTTTGTACCTATCTTATAAGTCAATTCTCAGCAAGGTTGGGATTATTGTACATTTGTTAATAAATATGCAAATCACTATTCACCATTGAGAGATCTGTCTAAAATCAATTATTGAACTAACAAAATGAACTTAATCATATAGTAAAATCTTATTAGAATAAATTAATTATACTCTATCTCTGAACAGCTGGTGCCAATGACATGTATGAAGCAATAATGGCAGATTCCATGGCGAAAAGGATATTAAAAAAAGAATCGGAGAAGAATGTAGAAGTAACAGGACAAGTAAGATTTACACACTATCATTTTAGTGATTTTCACGAGCATTTAAGTTGGTTAATATTGAAATATTTAATGCTACTAACAATAACAAATAATGGATATAATCCAGCTAAAGTATATAATGGTTGATTTATTATTTCTTTTTGTTTTACAAATATTTGAAGAGCGAGTCACCATCAGCTAAAAAAGAGAGGAAATATAATCAGGGTAAGACGTTCGTGTTTGCATTTCATAAGAAATTGATTTAATGAATACATTATTTTTAATTGGTATATCACACAGAGGGCCATCACATGTCATAGCCTTGTTGCCGACGCACCTCTATTAACAACATAATACGTATGGTTGCTCATGGAACAAGTATTATAGGTACATTGCCAAAAGAATACCACCTGGAACAGCTAATAGAACTTGGAACAAGAGATAAAAAAAAAAAAAAAACTCTCACTAACTGCCTGACACTTCACTATACCAAGCACTACCTTACCTTGTAGGGTCAGTGGAAAACCTCCATTATCCTACTATTTCTTGGTTTTTGAATGTATGTTTTTATGTATTTTTAACTTTTTATTCTGAATCTTCTATAAGGACAATCATCATCAAATGTTGATGCCAGAAACCTGAAAATAGAATCAGATACCAAAGAGCAGACACAGGCACAATCGATAGAAGAGGTCCCTGAAACCATCGCTACTAAAGTCCAGGAGCGTATAAAAGAACTCAAGTTCACAAAAGGAGATGCGACGCAAGAATTGCAAAAATCTGGCAAAGATTTCATTATGAGCATCTGGGACTTCGGAGGCCAGCCAATATATCATGTGATACAACGAGTAAAGTCATTATATTGAATAATAAATTGAATTGAAAAAAAAAATTATTCTAGGTATTTTTTTTAGTTTTCAGTATTAAAAATTATTGAGTGTGAATCATTTTCTTGTAGATTTTTATGGTATCTTTTGCCGTTGTTTGTGTGGTATTTAACCTAGAAGATGATCTTGACGCCCCCGCCAAAGTTAGGGATCCAACCACTGTAAGCATTATTTCTTATCAACATTTATTCATTAGCAGGTTTTGCATGAATTTTATCAACTTTAAAATCAGGATTAAGTGATCTTATACAGATGACTCACAGTACATTAATACATACGATAGTTTCTTAAAAAATTTTTACTGTATATATTTTTGTTTTATTTCAGGGTGATATATACGAACATCGAATGACAAACCTTGAGTTCATTCTGTACTGGATTCGTTCAGTATATACCAACAGTAGGGATTCAAAATTGGAAGATGGACAACCTTCACCACCAGTACTAGTGATTGGTACTCACCTAGGCAGCCTCGAGGGGAATGAAGAGGAAAAGAAAAGAAAGGTAAACAACTGTGTCATACACCCAAACACCAAGTAAACAATAAAACAGTATAAAGTACGTAACATATCATAAATAAACCACAAACAAAAGAGAAGGTAATAATTTAGACCAAATAAATTAAATGTGTACCTTAAGTTATATACTTGATACTTACTTGATTGTAGTGGGAAAGGATTAGGCCTCAGTGACATTTGTAACCCCACAAAGCAGTTCACCGAGGGAGCCAGAGCAACATCTTCAGGGAGAGAATTCAAAGTATTATTGATTTTGACAAAAGAAATCTTTTTTATATATTACCATGAATCATTTTTATTATATAACAATTTATTAAAAATGTGACTACAATAACAAATTTTAACACAAACCAAAACACATACATTTTATAATACCTGATGACAAAAACCAAGACATAAAGTTACAAAATTTTAATTTTTTGGTTTTCTTTACTAATATTTGAATTAAGCGATTAACACTTTCCATGGTATAATGTTAAATTGCATTCTGGGGGACCACTGGCAATCATGACTGGCACAAGACCAAAACAGCCATATTTTGTTAACATAGAGATCTGTTTCCATTTTGGATGAATAAGATTGCTTTTACATTTAACTGACTTTACCCACCCAACAATAAAAGGACTGCAGACAGCAAGAAAAATAGCTGAACAAAGCTGTTTGATTTTCACACAGTAAAACATACAAACAGCTATGTAAATTTTTGTATTTTTTTTTAGAGTGTGCTGCATTATTTAACGTGCACCTTATAAATAGTGGCCTACTGCATAACGTTTCCATTGTGTGCTATAATATACATTGCATCACTGCAGTGGGTGGGGGAGGGGGTTCTCCCGGATTTGCCTGACAGGGGGGTCAATTTCCCCTGACAAAAAAAAGTGGGCCTGGTCGGGCGTTGCTTAACATCTTTGTAAACTGGTCCTGGGTGGTGGTTCCCAAATCCCCCCCTCAAAAAAAATATGACAATTTAGGGGTTTCAAAGGAAAATATGTAACTTTTTTTCTCCCAGTAGAATTATGGTTTTTTTTCTATCAGCCTGGCCTCACTCCTCTCCCCCACCCCCCCACAGAAGCGCCGCCACTGCACCACAGCCCTCCGATCCACTTTAAACACAAAAGGAATTGAACCAGGGTCCTAGAAAGCTGAAAGTATCGTCGCACGCATAAACGCACGCGAATGGACTACCGGTACTTCTAATTATTTGCTCTGCTCTTTCTCGATGGGGTGTGGCATACGATATCCTCGGAGTCAATGGAAAATCATGCTTACTTAGAGGATGGTTAAAGAATCTGTTTGAAGCCCAGATTCAGGATTGTCACTGGTACATCATCCTAATCAACCTCACTATCATCAGAATCATCGCCGTCGCTATTATCATCGTCATCATCTGTTCATCATCATCGTCATTGTCAATTAATTAATCGATTAATTGCTTGACTGAGTGACTGATTGATAGTATATTTGTTGATTGATGAACCGATTGACTGATTTAATCGATCAATTCAACGATTTACTAATTAAAATATTTTTTTGATTAATTTGTATACAAAATAATTTTTTTAAATCACTGAACATCACTAGAAAAAAATATTATCGGAATTAGTACTTATTTGTGTCGGGTGTTTCATACTTAAAATTTCATAATTTAAATCAAAAAATCAAACATTATTTTAATTGGATGGCCAATTTAGCGATGGTTGATACTTAAATAAGTTGACCACTTAAACATATCAATGAAAATGACAACTTGCACACTTACACATTGCTATCGTTATGTTAATACTTGTTTTTACGTTGCTGCTGTGGCTGTTGATATTGATTTCAATAATTTTTTTCATATTTATGTCTGATGATTAATATTTTTGTTTAATTTCAGGCCGAAGAAATATTCAATAAAATTAGGAAAGCATTGGAAGGGAAACCTTATGAAAGCATGGTGTCAAGTTTCTTTGCTATTGAGAACAGCTTACCATTTGCCAGGAGCAACGCTTCCAACATCATGAACCAAATTTTAAAGTTTGCAAAGCAGATGGTTAGAAAACTACCATTGAAATGGTTGCGTGTTCAACAGGAAATTCAGAAGTTGAAGGTGAAGAATATCTATTTACCAACCAATGAGGTAGGCATCTATTGAACATTCTCTAAGTTCTGTTTGAGTTAGACTAATTCAAATCATACTCAAACCAAGGAAATACCTCTTTGGTTAAACATCCAGAATAATCCATGAATTCTCTGCACAAAAAGAATCACTATTATTGTTGCCATTGCTATGAGAATATACAGCTGTATCTACCAGTATTCTTCCACCCTCATTTAAAACCATTTGGTTATGTTTTTTGGTTTTTATTGCTTTAACAGGTGATTGCTTTGCTTGAGCAGTGTAGGGTGAAACAAGGTGCTCAAAGGGTGCTGCTTGAGTATTTACATGACCTTGGTGAGATTCTCTACTTTCCTGATGACGACGCTCTAAAGGACATCATTGTTTTAGATCTGATGAAAATAGTCGACATGTTTAAAACAATAATAACCATTATTGAGCCTAAACTTAGGGTAAGCTGAACTGCACACATTTACACAATATTTTGTGAAGTACATTTTTTTATATAAGAACCAGTAAAGTTTTGCCCAGTCTCAATGTGCTAATTATTTTTTTGGCCAATTTCAGGCTAAAATTATTCATATTTTGTTCTTATTTTACACTTTTCTACGATTGAAAATTATTGTTGTACAGAGTGTACTTTAAAAGCAATTTTAGCCTCCTTGTTATTACAACAAAAGTGTAGGTAGATTCCCTTGTTTCAGATACTGTATTTCTGTGATAAAAGCATAGCACAAGCCTAAGTTAAAATGATTAAATTTCAGAAACCAAAGCACAGAAAGGCCTGGAGGAGGTTGGACTCGGGTATCCTAGAGGAGCATCTTTTGAGACACCTCTGGAAGGAGTTCAATTTTTCAGATAAGACGTTTGACTTCTTTGTATCTCTCATGCAGAAGTTTGGACTGGTGTGCGAAAGAAAGGTACACTAGTATTTTTGAATATTATTTTTATCTTTCTATTGGAGCCTGTTTCATTACATCAATTTCAAATAATGTAAACTAATTATAACAGTGAATATGTTTATAATAAAAATATGAATTTGCATCAGGAAATATCATATTAAAAATTTGCAAGTGATTCGGGTGGGAATCGAACCCACAACATCCAGGTATCTAGGCTGATGTCTTAACTACTAGACTGGAAACTGAACTAAAGATATTCTGTCAGAGTGGTGCACGAGGCATTGAATTAACGAGGTACATTGCTTGCGAATGTAGCGACGCCCACATGCATATAGTGCGCAAGTTTGATAAGGATGTGCTGCCATGTGGGAGCAATGGTCTGGAAGTGATGCGCTACCGTCGACTATTTGGAGATGACGTGCCACGATGTAAGTCACAGCTATTCCTTCATGTCTGCTTTTATAGTAAATCTAGAATCAAATCTAAAACACTAAACCTAATTCATAAACTACAAATTATGAAAACTTATTTGTATAATAAATACGGTATCGTCATATAATATCAACTCGTTGATCCGACCGAAAACTTTTCCTTGTAAACTCTGCTATGAAATAAAACAACATGAAATCGGAAAAGAGGTCTTGTGTTAACAAAGATATTGTTTTACCTTGATTCATTATTTCTTGATTTTTAGATCATTCCCAGTATCAAGAAATTGTACATATACACAATGGTAGGTTTATGGATTTTTAAAATGTTAATTAAAAATAATAGGTCACATACAGTGCTTTGTAAAATAGTAAACACACATCTTCACAAGTGATGTAAGATGGTGCTAGTATTTATTGAGAAATAAAATATTAAAACAAATCACTTTTAAAATTAATCTGTACTCTGATGAATAGTGTTTTAAAACATGGTATGATTTTTTCACATTATCTTAAAGAATATTGTTTACATTGTGTTCAGATTCATTAAAAAAAAAATTTTAAACACTTTCTTTTCAATGGAGTTTTGGACAATAACGTTTTCTTTTATGTTAGACTTTGTGGATGACCTCACCATTACAAAAGTCTCTGAGGAAATGAATTTCAGCTGGAGAAGGGTTGGAGTCCGTTTGGGACTTAAGTGGTCAAAAGTGAACATGTTCAATTCTAATGATACGCAGACTCAAAAGGCTGCCGAAAATATGATGAATTACTGGAGGAGCAACCTTAGTAGCGATATTCATCAACGTAAAATGCTGTCCACTGCCCTGAAACAACATAAGCTCAGGAAACTAGCTGAAGAATTGTTTGGGGGAGAAATTGGCGATGAAAATCTTGACACTCAGGAAGGAGGTATAAGCACCTCAAGGAGTTCAGAAATAGTATTAGAAACCCTTTTTTTTCTACAGCTTGTTTCTATTTTGTTAACACATAAAGTAACACATAGTAACAACAGATGTCAGTTACAATTGTTTTTTATTCATTGCATATCATCTATGTTTTCTAATTAGGAAAATGTTTTAATGATCAAGATTTGCTGTTCATCTGTGACCAACTGGATCCCGAATCATGGAGGAGACTGGGAGTGCGTCTTAAACTCAAGTGGAGCGATATTAAAAAAATAGCAAACAACAACAGACAGGTAGAGGACCGCATCATGGAATTGTTGGTTACTTGGAGGGATTTCCAAACAAAAAACCAAGTACCAATCATGGTAAAAGCTTTGAGACAACAGCAGCTTGTTGGACTTGCACGAGATGTATCTGAAAGGCATGGCTACAGTGATGAGCCAGAAGTTGCACAAACTCAGACAAATAAAAAATATCAAACACTAGAGCATGGTTAGTGAAAAATTGCTATTCTCTTAATACTGTATGTTTTCTTTGATAGCTGAGAAACGTTTTAAGCACAATTTTCATTTCGTATATACAGAGATAAATTTGAAAATACAGTACTAATTATTGGTTTACGTGTATCTCTCTAGTCAGTAATGAAACTATTTTCTGGTTTCACTCATGACTGGCCAACATATAGAATGTAGGGCCCAAGTATATTATCTTTTAAGCTGGTGCCCAGAGTTAGTTTGTTGTGGCCAGTGGCGGGCTGTCATATTTTCATTATTTCCATGAACACTCCATCCATTCCTTTTCATAAAACTCAACGTGATATCTTCTGTCACAATATGTTAAAACATTGGTGATACTTTCCTAAATCAACAATGTGATAGTCTATGTTTTTAAAAATTAGTGACTTTGGCATTGACATATCTGAGAGGGTGATGTAGTTGCAGACCTAGAATCTTACCCACTAACAATTTTTAAAATTACGTTCATGTTTTAGGTCTAAAAATCACCACCCGACTATTTTTCTCTGCTTAACCCCAAAGGCCATCAGTTTTAATCTGAAAGCTAAAGTGTGTCCTCATTGTTAATTAATTCATACATTTTTTTTTTGTAAATTACAAATTTCTGACTCATTTGCCAATGTAAAATTATCATCAGTTTAGCAAAGCTTTTCAAATCAAAATCTTTAGGCTGAATACCAAGGATGTAGGAAAGGTTAGTAATGTACTACATAATAAAATAAATATACTTTTTTTGTGGGAGCTCAAAGTATAAAATTAATATTGAAAAATGTTAGTAAGCAATAATAAATGTTGGTAATTACGAATGTAATAATAAAAATAGTTGAACAAATAACATAATACCACTCATCTATGTATACAATTGAAAATTTATGTATTTCAGGTTGCTTAGATGATACCGACATGTTGATTATCTCTGAGAGTCTTGATAATGACTGGAAGTATTTTGGGATTTACTTAGGTTTGAAAAGATCTGAAATAAATCAAATTCAGTCAGACTTTACACCACCAACTGTAGACGCCTCTATTGAAATGTTGGTACAGTGGCGAGAAAGACAGAAAGCTGAAGTAAATCATCTCAAAACAATTACTGAAGCACTGAACAAAGTTGAACGAATAGATATCAAGGAAGAACTTGAGTCATACTACCAGAACAAATACGGAAAAATTGAAGCAAAGGTGTAAAGGAACATTTTAAAGATGATAACAGTGCAATAAAAAAATGACACCAGAATATAATTTTACCGTGGTTACATACACCATAGTCCACATTAGGTTACTTTTTAATCAAGAAATTATATTTTGCTCGCCTTTTGATCATCCAAACTGCATACTTTTGATGCTGTCATCCAGGACTGTAGATATTGAATACAAAATATACTGAAAACATTAGTTTCAACTTTTTCTTTGGATGATTATGTATATATAAACCGAAAGGTCCACTGATTAATCTCAGATAAGAAAGTATACTACATACTCCAAGTATTGAAATCCTGATGATGACATAATGTCGAAATATAGCATTTCAATACTTGGAGTATGTATTATACTTTCTTATATGTATATAAAGTGTATGTACGTTTTTCTATATTGATTATTCAATTTAATTGATAAATTGTTACTTATATTAAAGTTCAAATTAATATTATTCAATAAATGTGATACACTATTTGTGATGGCATCGTGAAGAAAACAATTCTTAATAAACAATTTGTTTTATAAATTTACAAACATTTTACTACTCTGATTATCAAAAATTCCACAATTCTTACTTAATTTACAATTGATAACTAATTATTGAATAAAATACATAAATTAAGCAATTCAAACTACTGTGTCCTCTAGCACTGAGTTTCAAGTTTCAATGCGTCTTTAGTTTCATAATGTTTAAAGCCCATTTCAGAAAGCATCACACGTTGCAGCTTGACACGTTGAAATTAAAGTTGTCGCGTTGAGTACGGTCACATTGTAGAACATTAAACATTTACTATGATCATGACCTTAAGACTGTCCCTGATGACATATTACGTCGGAATGTGTCGTACGGCGCTGTCCGTTGGGCTTTAAATGAAATGTAACTCAGTAAATTATCCTATGCTGATCTCTCATACTCTTCTGCAGTATACTCAGCACTGCACATCCAAAAATACTTTGGAAAAGAATGTTGCATGTATATCGGGTAGAATTGAACCCACGACCTCCAGCTAAATGTGCCTAATGGGTTGTGAAACAGTAGCAGCTCCAGGAATTGCCCGACAGGGAGGTTCCCATGTCCCCAACCAGAGCAAATTGGGCGTGGTCAGGCATTACTCAAAATCTTTCAAAAGTGGTCCGGGGGCAAAGCCGACTGAAAAATTTTACAATTTAGGGGTTTCAAAGGCTTATTCAATCGATTTTAAAGGGGAACTTGGGCGGATGCAGGGGTACAGACGATGCGATCGTACCCCCTAAATTGTGTCACGAAAAAATAATTGTTGACATGAATTATTGGTAAAATTTTCGCTCCTCAGCCACAACCATGTTGAGGCTGAAGAAATGTGCATTCTTATACATCCATAGAATTTCATAAATCAAGAAGATGCCTGAAAATTGTTGATTACTCCTTGGGACCCAGAATGTTCTGACATAGCTTTCCACGACCCAAGACCACGGTTACCAAAGAAATGGCGTCCATACAAAATATACGGCCAATGTAATACAGTAGAACCCCTTGAGACACCCTTAAAATGACACTTTTTAGAGAACAGATGGGGATTATCTTTTAACACTACGGCCAACTTCTGAGAAGGGCACACCCCTATTAATGGGACACTTTCTGAATTTCTTGGTGTACCTAATGGCCAAATATATTCTGCCTGTAATTAGTGTGAACATCAGTATAGGCCTACTGCATGTGTTTGTATATTTTAGTCACTCCTCTGTTCATGCTACATGCATTCCTCCAATAGTAAGCTCAATATATATTTTCTAAAGGGTAGGGACACCCCATTAAGGGGACCCTTTTTTGGACCCCCTAATAGGGGCTCTACTATATACAGTATATATATATCGAAGTATTGTCAGAAATTTGATAAACATACGGTAATTATTAAACTAAATAATTACCTAAAGCAGCGTTTCAATCTTATTTTTCATGATTTGTTGATTTCGATTTTTTTTTCTGATCGTGTTAATTCTTACATTGGTTGCTAGCTCCTTTCTCATGTTTTGATTTAGCAGTTACTAAAGCGTAAATTGCCCTCAAGACTGGACAAATTAGGAGCCGAGGTTGTGAATGAGTGACGGAACACTAAAATTCCTAATACTTTATTACCTAAGATTAGTAGACTGAGTAGACTGCTGGAACATAGCGATGTTTTATCAAGCTGATCAACATCGGATAACAGCCAATTAGGGCTTAACACAAATTGAAGACAATAGTTAACATTTTACTAAATTAATTAATCTCGTGCGTTTTATATAATTTTTATATACCAAAATGCGATCTGACGACCCCAAAAATTCACTCATACTAAAACTTGGGTCGCGATCCATCTGTTGTAGCAACATACCGGTATATCTCTGCCCACAAACATCTGAATTACTATAATATACGATTCGAGTGTGATTGCCTTTATTTTAATTTGAAAATTATGAGAAAACGCTTGCTAACATAAAGCATGGAACTCGGCACATGAAGTAGGTAAAGTAAACGCATCAAAGACAATTAAGTATTATTTTCTATACATACAGCGATTAATTTGAGCGATGAGGATGAATTTTACGATGTACATAGGACATTTTATATTTACTACGAATATTTGAAAACATGATTAATGAAATGTTTACTAACTTAAGAAGTCACCTGAAGCAACAATGTGGTTATGTGCACGTCAGCACGGCATTCATTTGATATTTAAAAAAAGACTGAACTTGGATTGAGTTAGTTCCAATCTTCGAAACAAAATCGCGAACAAGGCCCTCTGTTTATTTTTTTAAATATTTTATTTCCACTGCATAATAAGTAAAATCACAATACACACCTTAAACTTATTTATTTTTTAAATTATTTATTCTTTATTTAGCCAATGAAACAATATGCAAATCAAAATCCAAGATGGCAAGGAATGACCACAGTTAAAAAAAAACAAAAAAAACTTTGGCTCTCAAGCTGGTCATCAGAATGATTAAAAATAACAATACAAAAATATAACTTTCTTAACTACAAGGATTTGCTAGAGTAAAATTTGATTAAGAAAAAGATCAATAAAAAAAGTAAAAACTAGATTGCAAAAATTAAGATTACACAAAAAAAAAGAAAAAAAAGGAGAACAAAAGAAATAATTATTACACAAGGTGAGAAATTATTATTTAATTAATTGATTAATTATAATTGCAAGTACAGTTGTTAAAATAGGTCCATGCGTAACATCTAACAATTATAACATCATATCACAAATACAGCAATAATATAACACCCAAATCAAAGTTTAAAAAAATGTTTTTAAAATATTTTAAAAGGATATTAATATGAAAAAAAAATTATCAAAGATCTTATAAGATGATTTTAATTGATAATAATTGATGTACTGTACTCGTGCGTCAAGAGGACGCTGCTCTCTGCGTTGGTAAAGGCTATATAACAGCCACGAGGAACATTATATTTAAATATCATGAATAATCAATTACCAGATCCGGGACGGCGGTACCGAGTTAGGTTCCAGCGTGGGTAAAGATGTGATTGCATCACGATATGTCGGGGTGTAGGGCCATGGAGTGTAATTGTAGTCAATAAATGTTCACTGAAGTCTGTGGTATCTCATGGACTCTAGTAAATTTTCAATATCATATTTTTTATTCAACATTATTATTTAGCAAGACCAAAAACTCAAAAAGGGTCTGTATAGTGTTGTGTATTCTCTTATTGCAAGTGTATATGATATTAACGGGGACATTCATTGTTTAAAATACTCCTGAAGTTGTAATGGGCACCATGTGTAGACTGTCCATGGAGTCAAGTGTCAGATTATTTTCAGAATAAATTATCGTTTTTATTTTATAGTTTATAAGACGAAACTTTTCAATCATTGTCCATTAATCACGAGATAACGAATTATTATATGAAGATCATTTGTATAAATAATAGGTAACAGCAGTAGGCCTATTATAGTAATACATAGCTGGGTCCTCATTTGTAGAAACAGATGCTGCTATATTATACAGGGGTGGCGACAGGATTTTCCAGACGGGGAGGGGAAGTCCGACGTCCCCAACCAAAAGTGTGGTCGGGCGTCGCACAAAACCTCTCGAGAGTGGCCCGAGGGAAAACTCCCGAAAACAATATGACAATTTAGGGGTTTCAAAGGCTTATTTAATCGATTTTAGAGTCTAGGCCTACTAGTATGTAGAAAATACATAGGCCTACATTTCGTTTCTCCCTGAATAAATTGTGGTTTCTCCCCGATGGGGGTGGGGGTGGCAGCTCTCCCCAAGGGGGACTCTTTTTTTTTTTTTTATAAGAACCAGTTTTGCCACGCCGAGTTTTAAATGTATGGCCTAATAATAATATAAAATGAGTAGCTGTTGACTGTTCATACGTTTTAATATAATAATCCTTTGCCAATCTATTATACTGCTAAACCAGCCAAAATTGTCTTCAACTTTATTAAAAATATCATCACTGGGTCCGTCTGTAAACGATTTTAGAGTCTAGGCCTACTAGTATGTAGAAAATACATAGGCCTACATTTTGTTTCTCCCTGAATAAATTGTGGTTTCTCCCCGATGGGGGTGGGGGTGGCAGCTCTCCCGAAGGGGGGCTCTTTTTTTTTTTATAAGAACCAGTTTTGTCTTGCCGAATTTTAAATGTATGGCCTAATAATAATATAAAATGAGTAGCTGTTGACTGTTCATACGTTTTAATATAATAATCTAATGTGAACATCAAAATTCCCGCGATACTTGGTGGTGTGAGGCCAAATCGCAGAAACCTGTGTTGAGTCGATCCACTGTACGATTCCATCATAATTTGCTGATGATTATTCTGATGAATATTTAATTATTATTATTATTATTATTACTATTATTATTATTATTATTATTAATAATAACACAAATAGTTTAATAAAAACAATGTGGTGGCTAAACGAACATTACATGTAAATATTTTTTTTTCATTTCTTTATTCCCCGACAAAAATTACTCGTCTTCCCCGACGGGGGGGGTGGGGGAGGGGGCTATGATTCCCCGACCCGGAGGGGGGGCCTATAGCACCCTCAGCCCCAGCCACTTCCCCCTCTGGCGCCACCACTGTTTGATTCTAATGTGTAATAATGTCTCTTTTGGTTGAGAATTGAATAAAATAAAATAAATTGTATAGGCGCATGCAGTGTTCTTTATGTGAAGTGCCATATAAATGCTCGATGTCATCTTTCGGGTCCAGTGGCACCTCAAATTTCAAGCAAGTGTTGCTGAGACTTCCTCGAAGTTACTCTGGAGTTAGGTTGTATATGAGAATCATGAAAAAGATAGTTCTGATAGAGGTTTATAGTTTTAATTAAGTGCTGCAACAATAACATTCAGAGGCAAATTTACAAAGTTTAGATAAAAAGTATTTATTTAAGTTTTATTTATTATGTCTCTTAACCAGGGGTGACGCCAGGATTTGCCCGGGGGTGGGGTCCGAGGTCCCCGACGGGTGGGGGGAGGGACGATACCCCCGACGAGTAGGTAGATTTCACCTACGAGAGCAAATTGGGCGTGTAGAGCGTCGCTTAAAATGTTGCGAAAGTAGTTAAGAGTTCAATTTTGACAATTTAGGGGTTTCAAAGGCTTATTTAATCGATTCTAGGTCTAATAATGTGCAAAATTCATATATTTTTTTTTCTTCTCACCGACGAATTGTGGTTTTTCTCCCCGACCGGGGAGCTCCCTCCGACGCCCCACCCATCTGGCGCCACCCCTGGTCTTAACACCGGTTTGTGTTACCATACTAATACTATAATTATGCACCTTTCATTCTAATTAAAAGAGACCCACGGATTTGTCATTGAAGATTCCATAACAGGCCCTTATTATTGCTATAGATCGACTATGTACGTTATTTAATACATTTAAATAAAATTTAGATCGATCTTAATAATGTGACTTTAAAGAGGTCTACATGCCATTGCTAGCAAATAATTATAGAACATATTATTTGATATTATGATGTAGCTGCCTGGGCATTTAATTATGGTAATTGACTATAAAAACAAAAACAGTGAAAGATTAACATTGTTGTGTATATCATTTTAATTTCTTCGGTTTCAAACAAATGACAGTTGATTTTCGTGTAATTTTTGAATTTTAAATGAATGTACCCAATGTTGTCTTCCAATCGAAAAAAAAGTTTGGCCGAATTTGGCCGTGAGATGGCGTGTGTTTGGTCGTGAAACCTAGCCTGTCGACTATCTGCATGCTCATGCTCCTATGCTACTGTTTTTCTCTCAGCAACCAACAACACACATTCTCCACATCCTTGACAGAAACACATTACGGTATTCATCGGCGTTGTTTGTGATCTTACACTTCCATTGAATTAATGTGAAACTATATTTGAAGGATATAATTTTTTTGGCCTAGGTAAGGTCCAGGGAAGATAGATAGGGTAGGATCTAGACTTTGGTTTTGGCCTATAGGCCCAGCCTACTCTGTCTGAGACTGTAGGCCTACTTAGGCCTAGGCCTCTCTATATATAGGTAGGCCCTAGGCCTAGATTGATAGGCTAGGCCTAGTACTACTAATAGCCTAGTAGCCTAGGCCTAGCCCGGCCTTAAAAATGATCTTTTTAGGCTTCAACCAACCAACCAACCATTGTTTTATAGTTGCAACACTAATAGTGGACTGAGTATTAGAAATGTTGTAAAAAAATCATGAGTGCTAATAAATTTTTAAGACTTTATAAAAAAAAAATAGTTAGGCCTTGGCCCAATTTGGCCTAGCATCGATTCCTATGGCCCCCTGGGCTAGCCTAGGCCCTATATTTATATACCAACTAGACCTAGGCCTGAAGATTCCTGGCATTTTGATTGGTTAAAAAGTTGGCGATATAGCTTCAGCCATGCCCTCTAATGCCTACAATCTAGGCCTGGCTTAACCTGTGTAGTGTTATTTAAAAAAATGTTTACTGGCACTGGGGTTTAATCGGGTCATGTAGGCCTAGTTCAAAATATAGCCTGAGGTGATTTGGAGACTGTAGTATGTCCCTCGACGTCATCCTAGGAGTAGTGCAGCCTCCAAATTGCCTCTGGCTATATTTCGAACTTTGCCCCTCAAACCAGTAAGTACTGTATAATAATATTAAGTATAATAATTATAAATATATATAATATATACACCGTGGCCTCTTGCATGATTTTACCATTGAACATTCCTCAAAAAATTATCAGAAACGAATATTGACAGTGGCAGATCCAGGAATAATTCGAAATAGAGGGTGCCCCAAGGGTTCACCCTCCTCAGCCCCACCAATGTTGCGGCTGAGGTAAGAAAAATTATGATTATGGGACCTCTAGATGGCTGAAATTGGCACTCTCAGATTTCAATTTGAACATAGTCTTCCTTTTTTCTCCAGTGTTGTTATAATTTTGAAAAATTTAAGGGTGGGGTGACCAGCCCCCCTTTGAATCTACCACTGATTAGTACATGTTTAACAGTCCAGTGATGCAATGATATTAAGCCTGTAATTAGGAGGAACCATTAAAACAAGGCTTAGACTTTTTGTTCCCACCACAACAAATTCTCCTTCACATGTTGAAATCAAAAGTTTAAGCTATATTATTTGACTACACCTAGACTATACAAAAGCAGTAATTTATATGACAATAGTGTATGTTTCATTCTACAGTATAAAGATGATGGCAACAAATCATCCTTCAAATAAGGATTCTAAGAAGAACTTGGTAGATGCAATGCTGAAACCACCAGAAGTTGTCACAAAGAAAAGTAGTGCTGAAGTTGATGGTCTTACTATAGGTGACATTTATGTCTGCAGTAAACCATGCCAAGGCAGCAAGACCATCCCACTTTCAGATAATACGGCATCTGTTGCTGAAATCGACTTTGAGTCACCAAAGTTTATATATGAAACGAACAACAGTAGTACAAGGACTTCTCAACAACACAGCAATCCAATGACATCTGAGCAGGTAGGTAATTTATAACACAACAAACAGTGTAAGTAAAGCAGAATCCATTTCATGTTTAATATAATATTGTTAACTGCCAAATTTGATTCAACTTTGCTATGAATGCTAAAACCATTTGTAAACCCGTGTGCATGCTGGTAGCAGACCACAGGCCCCTAATCAGCATGGCCACTGTGACAAATGAAATTATTATTGGCTTGAATTGTTATTAATTGTGCTACAGAATGCTACACCTCAATAGTGGATACAGACATGCCAACCACTCCGTTTATTTAAGCAAAACTCTGCACTCCAATTTTGGGTCGAAAATCTCCGCTTTTACTCATTTTGGCCAGCTGAAATAAATCACGAATTTATTGTCCCTTGCTAATGTCAAAAAATCATAAAAAATAATGTTGAAATAAACTTGCTCATATTGCAGTAGCATAAAAATCTTGTGCATAAAAATTATTGAATTTATAAAATGTGTACCCTGATTTTTAAACCAAAAAAAATATTATAAGAATAATAAAACACTTCAAGTGACTGGAAGTGTTTCTACCATTTTTCACTGTAAACTGATGGGTAGACGTTTTTTAAATACACTAATTTTTATGTTCAAGTTAATAACTTTCATGTTACTAAAAGTCAAATTCAAAAAACATTTTTATGTTTTTTTTTGGTATTTAGCATGGGACAATACATCTTTAATAATGGAAAGTATCCTGTCATTTTGAATTGAAATCAAATCCAGGCCTACTGTAGGTGATGCCTACGGTACGCTCGTTGTGATTGGTTGCGGTGTTGATTTTCTGCCTAGGCCTAGGGCCTAGTCTGGCACGGGGGTATTGCGGTTGTGAGTCAAAACGGTTACATTTTACAATCCGATCACATTGGTACCATGTCTTAGGAATACTCCTCTCACATTGCCAAAACTCCGCCCAGAAGTCTTTCAGACTCCTCTTGTTGGCCTTGGGTTGGCATCTCTGTGGATATATACAGGATTACCATGGATTAACAAATATTCTGGTATTTAAAATATTCACAGCATTCGAGCAGTACTTATTGCGTTCAAAATAGCGTATTTTGGCTACAAGTAATGAATGTGTATTATGGTAATGAGAAAAATGTGACAGTGATTACAAAAAATCTTGTATTTTCTGTTTTTAAAAATAAAGTCTAACACTCTGACCACCAGGGGTTTGAAAAAATAGTATCAGCCACCACAAGAGTTTTTAGCAAATTTTAACACTTTTCTGAAAGCTCATTGTGAGTGCGTCTGTGATCAGATTTACATATAGCGAATACTGCAAGAACTAAAACATGTTAGATTTACAATGGTACCACCAAACACTTTATTCTAATCACAATCTGTGACCTGTAAAACAGTAAAATGAAAATGGCTCACTTTTGGAGATTTACGCAATTTTGCACAATGAAGCTGTGATAATTGCAATTTTGTGAAAGTACATCAATACCGCTCTACGCTAATGTAAACAAACAAATAGTGAAATACTTACAGTCCAGACTGAATATAGTGTCCAAATTGTTAGTACATGTCGGTAATTACCTCATCTATCATATTCCGTAAAAACACACCTGAAACACTGAGATTTCCGTGTTTGGTGGTCAAGCCTTGTGTTACCGAACATGGGGGTCTCCGTGTTTGGCAGGCAGAGTGTTAAGCTTGGTGGTTGGAGTTTAGGCCTCTTACTGAATTTTTGTCTCATAACTAGAATTGACTCCACATCTTAAGCTTCATAATAAAGATTATTCATTTACTGGAAACCATATAGTAAATGCATGCTCTTCATTTTTAAGGATGACAAAGCAGATGCATTGCAAGTGGCACCCTCTGTTGTTAATAACCAGTCTTCTCCGAGGTCAGTTTATTTTTAGATCTTAATTGACTGATTTTAATGTTTTGAAAAAATTTCCCTCTAAAGTAGAGTTTAATAGCTTGATGGTTAAGATGCTTGCCTTCTAAATCCAGGGTCCTGGGTTCAATTCATGTTAGTGATTTTTTTTCGGAACCAAAACAACTGTATTTTCTAGGCCTCTTCTTGAGATTTTGTGTAGAGCATCATGTGTGTATGTTTGTCTTGTTCGCTATTCACAGTGTTTAGTGCATGCTGGCCTTCATATTACTAAACTGTATAATTTTATTATCTTTATATCTTTAAGTTTCACTGTATGCTGCATTTAATTCATAATAATCTTAGGCCGTTTTAATGTATTGAAGATTTTGTAGTTACGTAATTAATGTTATGAAAGATATGTACATTACATTAAGATTAAATTATTAGATATCAACAAAGTGTAGGATAAATCTCAAAAAACATTGGTGTAATAAGCAAACTGAAACATTCCTTTCCTCTAAATATTTTAGTTTCATATACAATTCGTTTATTTTGCCCCATTAATTATATTGCAACATCATTTGGGCAGCAGACTATCCCTCGAATTTAAAAAGAATTCTTATATTACAAAAATGGGTTGTTTGGTTAATTACATCTTCACCATTTAAACTGCATCTGAACCTCTATTTAAAAAAATTAACATCTTAAAAGTTAGTGACCTTCATAAATTCAAGATTAATTATTTTATGTTTCAATACGTGAATAATTTAGTACCTGTATCAATCACATTGTTTTTCTCTAACCATGTAATATCTCATTCTTACAGTATTAGAAATCCAAATATATTACAAGTCCCTTTTGTTAAACTTACAAAGAGTCAATTGTTTATTACATTTTCAGGTCCCACCATATGGAAACCTAGATGAAGATATTATTATAATTGTAAATCCCATAAAGCATTAAAAGGTCATATGAAAAAAATATATTTTAAATGTTGTAGAAAACTGATTTTTTTTAAAGACACATTAAGCATATTTAACAAGAAACTCAGAAACATTTTTAGTGAGATACAAGATCATCACTGTACATCGATGTGCATAAAGTTGTACTGTTGTAGAAGATCAATTTGAACTTTAGTCATTTTGCTTCTGGGCAGTAAGACATCAGTTAACCCGAAAGAACTTTTACATGTGGAGTCAAAATTCAAATTAAGTTGGGTCTAAAGCTTGCTAATCTTATGTTTCTTTCTACAGTACAATGATGATGCCAACAAATCATCCCTCAAATCTGAATTCTAAGAACTTGAAACCACCAGATTCTACAAAGAAAAGTTGTCATGAAGGTGATGGTGGGACTGTCAGTGTTCTGGAAAAACAAAATGAGGGTGAAAGTCTCGTCTGTAGTAATTCATCTCTAAGCCAAGGCAGCAAGACCATACCATTTTTAACTGGTACTTCATCTTCCTCAGAAGTCGACCATAAGTCAACAAGTGATATAACAATTGGAACAGCAAGGCCTCAACAAGGCAACAATCCAATGTCATCTGGACAGGTAGGCCATAAGTATAATAATTTTCCTCCAGTCTACGATGCATGCTTTACCAATTGCTTTAATATAAGTCAATCACCATCTTTTAATGTTAGTTTTGACAAGGCAATTTTCTTTGGTTTTGATAACCAACTGTTGCAGTCATCGGTTGCTATAGTGATATGTTCAGTATACTGTGTGCGTAGTTGTACATATGCTGATGTGTACTGCTGGAGTACATGTTAAATATACATCAGCAAGTACGGATACAATGAATTACTAATACTTGGCCTATTGTAATTTGTATTGTGTTAGAAGAATGTTTGTAATGCTATTTTGATAGACATTTGTCAAAAAAATAAGCATTTCTTAAAGCATTCGAGAGAGAATACAGTCACTGACTTTTTTGTCAGTGCAGACAGGTAAAAATCGTGCAATGATTTCATAACTACGCTAGGCTACATACGAGGGTAGGAGCCTAACCCATCAGAAGAGGCCTCAGCGGCCTCCTGTCTGGCTGTAGGCCTACATAATTTTGTTCTTTGAGTCCTTAAAAATAGGTCTAGAATATTCCCATTAAACGTTCAGTTTGTTTAGTTTATTAGGTTTCATTGATTCAAGAAATTGTTTAATTCTTCATACTTAATATTGAATTGAAAGTAACTTTCTTCAGGTTCTAATTAACCTTGTTTTACAAAAGTAATTTTCAACTATAATTCCATTTTCATCACCGTGCGCGATGTCTTTGCGGTGACAAAAAAATTAGGTTTTTTTTTTGCACATGAATCTAAAAAAAATCAAGCCAAGCATCCACTAATTGCAAAATTAGTGGACGGTGGGGAATAGGCAAATAACATTGGAAATTGTAATGATGACATCACAATTGACTTATAATATAGATTATTCATCAAAGAAAAACATTTACAGGAAACCATTGTTATTGTAAATGCATACTCTTTATTTTTAAGGATGACAAAGCTTTGCTAAACAAGACTGCAGATGCATCGCAAATGCCGCCCCCTGTTAATAGCCAGTCTTCTCTGAGGTCAGTTTATTTTTAGATATTACTTGACTGATTATAATGTTGTTTTCATGAATACTTAACCTGGATGAGCCGATATATACCAATTTTCTTTTAGGAACTTAACTTGAAAATAATGGAATAGTGCAACCCAGCCGTAGGCCTATATAAAGCCAAAAAAAATAATTGTTGTGGTGCCCTTAAATGGAAAAAATCAAGATCGTAAGTCGGTCGGTCAGATTTTTTTTTTGATTTTTTTTTTAGTAATACCTGAATTAGGATAGGCCTGAAACTGTAGTCCCTATTATTATAAAGAGACCCTAGGTCTAAGGGCTGGTAGTTCATAGACACCACATTAGCACGATGGAAAGGTTGCCAAACTAAAAATATTCAAAGTAATACTAACCCAGTGTATATTGACATAAATTTAACAAAAATAAATCAGTTTAATGAAAGATTTATTTCGAAACGTAAAATAATGTGTATCCACACGATCAAGGACGGTGGCTATGAAAAATGTCTAATCAAGCGCCCTCTATGTAATACAATCAAAAACTTCGAGAAAATAAACAGAAAAATATTTTGTTTATGGTTTGCCTAAAACGTTAACGGAGCCAAAAATATCTAGTTATATACCGGTTTTAAAGCGATGGCTAGACCTAAGCCTGTTTTTATTATTGTCCAATGTACTGTATGTAATAAATACGATTTTTTATTCAAGCAGTCACTAGTTGTACAGTAGTAAAGAATATGTTATGCCTAGGCCTAGATCTGGTTGTGGCTTGAGAGCTTAGCGCGAGAGATCCAATGTTGTGTGCATCTTAACTGGTGCCCAACTTACTAAAGTAGTGCCCACGTTATCTATAATCAATTATTATCAATTTATTTTAGCAAATTAGTGCCAGAATTAGCTAACATTAA